CAGAACAAGTAGCTATAACTATTAGTATAGTTCACTCTTTTAAAGCAATATTGAAGCAGTTATATTAAAGCTAGCAAAAACAGTACAAGTAGAGATTGATGTTACTTACCCATACCAACAACCATGGGCAGACCTCTTCAGCTCAGCCTGGAGGAGTGACCTTGAGGGGCATCCCCACTCTAGGGGAGGAATCACCACACACTCTGAGAAGGGTCTTGTTTCAGCTATTTTACCCCCTCTCTAGGCAGAGCTTCCAGCTACAGCCACAAATTGCTTGCATACTCCTTACTCTGGAAGTATCTATGTATCTATGTAAAAGTATCTATGGAAAAGTAATGGCTGCAAATGTTTTGTTGCAGAGAGTTTATCTTACTGGAACTGCAGTTATGAGGGTGTATGTAATGTGAATTTCACAAGCATATAGTTTCCTCAGTCCTACAGCAAAACTATGTGCATTTTAATATTACTTATTTAACACATTAGAAAACATAAATCTCCCAGTTTTGTCTGCTCTTTTTTTTCTCTCTGTCTAGTGTGGGATCAGGCAAAGCTGAGCCTCTATAATTGGCTTTGGTATGAAACAACCACATTTAATCCTTATGTGGAAGAAACATCTTATGAGAACTCGCTGTTAGTACAACAGTCTGGATCTTTGGCTTTGAGCTCCCTAATGCATGTCCTGCATAGCCTCACTCTCAATGCCAGGTAAGACACTGTAACACTTCATAGTAGCACCTGCCTGTCGCTGGTGGTTGGGGCCTCCGTGGTACCCCAAAACTGCCTAAGCGGTTCTAGGCGACAGGGAATGTTTCCAAGCCTTGCCCACATAGAATCTGGCTTGCAAAGTGCCCCCAAAGCCAGCAGAGATAAGAGATCAGAATATAAAGATAGGAATTATTCCACAGCTTAATTCTATGAAGGGATCCAGTCTAACATATTCAGCTGGGTGGGGTTTCTAAGGGGTTCTTTATATGTTTCGGGGTTTTACATTTTGCACCAATTACCAAGGGAATTCTAAAACTAACCAATGTACAAAGGACTTTAGGTGAGAAATTAACCAGTAGTACAAGAGGAAAATGAACCACTAATATTACAGAAAGATAACACAGGGGTCTGTAAAGGGGGGCAAAATACTTCTTGGTATTCGTCACTCTAAGCAAGCAATTTCATATCTTTAAGGTATCGTCTTCCATTGAGGCCTCAGTGAGGGTTTCTGCTTCAGAAATGGTTTCTGCTCCCTCCACACCTGCGAAGGACCCAGTCCTTACAATCTTTATTTTCTGATAGTAGTGTTCTAGACGAAGATGGTAGAACCTAGGTTCCAGTTGATTGATTACTTTAAATGAGCAGCATTTGGGTAGCAAATCCTGTCCAGTGATGAGATTCACAACTAGCTCTTTGTGCATAAGGCAAAATTAGTTAATAATTTCTAATAGTGGGAGTTTTGGGCTATTTAAATTATTATTATTATTTTGAGTTTCCCCTTTGCTCCTTTCACTTAGAGGGATATTCAAACTGCTTGCTCAGCACCAGTTGGAGAAAAAGGACAACCCATCTTATCCAGGTAAGTACCCACCTTTTCTCATCTATTTGAGGTGTTGTTCACAGCAGCCCTGGATTTTGGTATGCAGGTTACATCTCCAGCAACAGGAGTGCTGGAACAGTTGGCTCCGTGAGGCTCACTGTCTTTCCAGTGGCTCTGTGTCTGACTCAGACAGGAAATCAATAGACTGGCTGGTTCTGAAGGGCCACCTCTTGCATACTTAGACATGACATAGACTGTTGGGGGAGGGTGGGGGGGCTGTGAAGTAAAAAAAAATTTAAATGAAGACTGAATTCGTGTAACTTGAACTGAAATGTCCTATATAAATGACTTCTGACGTGCCCCTGCTTTCTAGGATACATGTGGAATATTCTGTCACTGTCTATAATAGGTGTTGCAGTGGATATGAATAACTTTTTAATGGTAGTGAAAGCAAGATAGAGGACTTGGAAATTAAGAGAGATTAATGATTGTAGAAAGTGCATTTAAGGTGCTGTTGAAATTCCATTAGGCAGCAGGGTGACTGGAATGTTAATTCAGCTGTTTTCCATTAATTACTGAAGTATTACCTTGGCTGTATACCTGCACAAGGTGATGTTACTGTAGCCACTCCGGTCTATGCCAAAGCAAGACTTGCAGATGGACAGTATGTGATATGAGACCTGGAAAAATCTGACAATCTTACTACTTCAGTTTCTTGTTCTTTCCTTTTTCTATCTCCAGGGCTGTCTTTCCAAGACTTTTACCAGCAGTGTCGGGAGGCTTTCCTTGTGAACAGTGACTTGACACTCAGGGCACAGCTGACAGAATTCAGGGATCACAAGCTCATCCGGACCAAGCGGGTGAGTCCAGAGAATTCTACTCAGCCACTTTGAATAAAAAAGATGCTTACTTGGCTGTATTGTTTTAAGCACCTAGGAACTGACAAGGGGCTGAAATTCTGTAATTGCAGCTCTTTTCCATGCCTTCAATATGCCAGCACCCTTTACATGGATGGGATTTAGAGGGCTGTAGAACCACAGTATGCTTTGGTTATTCAGCAACCTACATGTCTTCTTTTTGAAGACTGTGAGAAGTAGCAGACTATGGAGCCTGCCAGTCTGCTTCTGATAGTATTACCTGTATTTCCATAAGAATGCAGACTTGTCATAATAATGAGGCAATATAGCAGTACAAGATACAGGAGCACGGTGTTAAGGAGCATTGTAGTGTCAGACAAGCAAAACCCACCAGGAGATTTCTCATTTAGTGACTTTTCTCAGTATTCGTGCGTTTCCTGTATTACTCCAGTGAAATATTTCAGGTTTTCAGTAATGTAGTTGTTCAGAATGCTGTCCAGCTCTAATCCAGACTGCAGATAAATGCTAGCATTGCAGTGCTGTCTAGTGGCTTGCCTGGCACTGTACACTGGTGTTAACAATGTCTATGCATGTCTGTTCTCAGGGAGCTGATGGTGTGGAATACTTATTAATTCCTGTCGATGACAGTACCTTGACCGACTTCTTAGAGAAAGAGGATGAAGATGTGTGATGTCTCTGTGTCCTCAGTGTCTACAGCAATTGCTCTCAATAGCTGCTGGAGAGGGGCCCATGCTCAGATCTCTCTTTCTTCAACCTCACAGCTGCTGCACTGATAAGTAATAATTCTAATGAATTTTGCTCATTGTTCAACTACCTCAGGTAGTTTGGAATGATGACTTCTGTAAGCAAGGCCTCTCTTGCGCTCTAGTTGGATTTGTCTGCTTTGTCTCTTAGCTCAGACAATGCCTTCTTCCTGTCTGTGCAGCCAACCTCACACCAGAAAAACAAACTCGGTGAGATTGTGCCTTCTGCGCTCTACCTCAGTAGACATGAGGGTTTTATTGGAGCAATTTACTTGGGAAGTGCAAATCACAAGATGGTCAAGAGCTTTAGTTTGTACTAGTGGTGCAACTTTTCTCAATTGAGTGCTATCCAGTACTCCTCTACTATTTAGACAAAACTAGCTTTCAGTGTATGAAAACAAGATTTATCATGCGACAAGACCTGCCTTGACTGCATGAGGAAAAGAGAATACTAGTGGATTTGGGATGCTGCAGGTAACTTAGTAAATTCTGGCAATAAAACTGAAGGACTTGTCTCAAACCCACATCCTTTTACAAGATTTAGATAATCGAAGTTATGATGGACTCATGTCATTGCCTGCTAGTTTCCAAGGTGCAATCCAGGAATATGAAGAGGCTACGAAGCTTTTTTGTTTATTTTTTTAAAGCTTGATTGTATATTTATATTTTTTACATCAGGAGTGTCCACTGATCCTGAAGGAGGCCTTAAATGCCACTTAAAAGCTCTCCCTTTTTTTAAGCTCATAGAGGTTGAGAGACTGCTGAAGTTTGACATCTTTTCTTCAATTCTTTTTTTCTCAGTTATGTGGGAGGAAGCTCTGTAGTTCCATCATCTATAGTCTGCCAGCCAGACTTCAGGGACTCCGTATGCCTAATATTTGCTAGCTGTGTTACAGCTCAGTGTTGTAATAGTTCAAATCAATCGAAATAAAGTACTTTATTAATTTTCATTAGCTTATCTTGTCTTTCACAATCTATTTATGTTACAGGAAGAAAGAGATCCTTGTGGCAGTTGTGCAAAAGCTTCATTTTCATTATGTCAAATATCTGCGCTGAAGATTTCAAACTACCAAGCAGAAATATTTTATATCGCTTCTTACATCAAAATCAAGAATCGTTTTCCTGCCTTTTAATACCAGTATATAGCTTTTGAAGAGAACCAAAACATCCCATGGAGTAATGGTTACCTTATCTGCCCCTCTCTGACAGAAGCAAGAGATGTATAGCCTGACTTTTGTATTAGAAACCTAGAGCATCTACCTCTACGCCCCACTATCAACTTGAGTTTTCATATAGGTCCTTTCCTTTTACATGGGAAAGAAGTTTCTTCTCACTTCTCAGCATACTGAGGTGTCTTCATGGTATTGGAATAACGACCTTTATGTAGCCTAGGTAACTTCAGATAAACCAGTCATCTCTTTCTACTTACATTTAAGTGGAAGAAGAAATGCTTGATGAGCCATTTTTATTAATTTAAAAGGATAAAGCTAACATCTTTACGAATTTGTAAAAATATTTGTAAAACATTTACCATCCAGAGATGGTAGGGTATACAACTGTGAGATTTTTTTTTCTGAAAAAAAAAATCCCAACAGAAAAAAATAACTTAGAAAATAAAACTCCTTATCAGTGGTGAAAATACTACTTGTTCAGTTTTAGTAATCCTGTAATTAGAAGCCACAGTTACAGAAGCTTTTTAAAATAAAATAGCAAAGGCACATGAATTTACAGCTTTGTTAAGGAATTGAGTTTCAACCTTACAAAGCTTGCTTTTTAACAGAGAGTCTCTCTTTTGAAAAGCCTTAAAGCTGCATTAGTGGTAGATTGTGCAATTGAATACTAGTACCAACAATGTGCTTTGTGTTCTCTTATTTGCATCTGAGTGGTGCCTTAGTACAACTGTTAATGCAAACAGTTAATCTCCATCCTTTCATTAACTACTATTTCTGAAATTTATTAGGTAAAATATTAGTGACTTGCAGTGACATGATTTGACATAACTGTAGTAGGGTATAACTGCTGCATAAGCTTAAATCTGGAGATAAGTCAGGTTTTATATATTTTACCCAAATCAACCCTTGATGTCATGGTTATCAACTGTATCTAATAACATTAAGCAGTAACAGTAAATTTATTCAAGTACAGTCCAGTAATTGATTAAATGAGCCTTTGGTATTCTGAAACAAACATTTATTTTTCTGACATGACAAAGTATACCCCAGACTTTGAGGGACCCTATAATACAATCCTTCTGTGATTGAATGCACCTTCATTGACTCTAGTCTTCATGGACTATTTGAAAGCACCTTCATTAAGCTCTGCAGTTGGATAGATCTGTGCAGGATAACACAATTGACTGAGTTTTCTCTCTCTCTCCAGTTTTTTCCCCCTATGCCACCTGGAGAGGATCTCTGTCTTTCTCAGACACAATGACGTTGATTTTGTTCTGTAGGTGGATGGCGAGTGCGTCTCGCAGCTCTGACAGGAAGCCTCGCTCAGTGTTACTGTGCTCACACAGGATAACACTTATCCCATTGGCAACTGCATCCAGCACATCATGGTGGGACATCTCTCCTGCCATTTTAAGAAAGAAAGTCGTGGAGATCACTAATGGTACAGTTCAGGTAACCAGGTCTCTGCAATGTGTGGAGCACCTCAGCTAAAAGCAGTGGTGATGTAATGGAATATAGGCCATAAGCAGAAATGCACCAGCAGCTTCTCAATAGGAACGTGGAACACCTGCTCCAGGCTCCTTTGAAACACTCAGCTTATATCCCTGTATGTAGCTGTGTCAAAACACAGAAATTCCTTGCCATCTTTGAATAGCTGTAAATTCTGCCAATTTAGGCAGAAAATAAAAATGTTCAGAGTGGTCTGGAACAGGATAGAAGAAAGCAGTTGGGAAGCCTGAGGGTCAGCTCTGCAGGACTACACATAAGAGGGAGAAAGGGCAGTGATTCCTAGAATGTAAGGCAGCCTTCACATTGCTGAGCCACGGGGAATAGCTGGAAGACAGAATAATGGACTAAGTGTCCCTTTGGTTAGACACACTATGGAGTTTCTTTGGAAAGTTCTGTACACTACATTATATTCTGTTTTCCATTAGGGAATTCTGTAGGGAATAGAGGAAGTATATGTTGCCAAAGGAGAAACACTGAAAGTTGCAACTTAGTGCTATCAGCACTGATTTTGTGTTGAAAAAAATGCTGTAAAGTAATGTTTTAATTCAGATATCTTTCACTGTGCCACACTGCCATTTGATCCACGTTATCTCTACTTCAGTTTGTCATTCCAATAGCTAACTAATTGTTTCTCAGTTATAAATAACAGGTAATTCTTTGTGGTCAAATCTTTCAAAAGCCAGTCAACCCTCTTATTTTTTGCTGAGGTTTGTTTTTTCTCTCATGACTATTTTTATAAAAATAATGAAACAGCAGTCTGTTACCTGTGAGATAGAGGTCAGCTTCTGTTCCCTTCAGGACACTGCTCCCAGAACCAGCACACAGAGCAGCCTTCTTCACTGGTGATTCTGCAGGATACAAGGTGCCACAGTTAAACTCCTTCCCCTTTGTTCAGCCTTCGTGTATATTGCTAGTAATTGTTTCAGTTAACTACTACCTTGATTTTAGAGTCAATGTAAATTTGTCAGAGGAAGAGACACATCTATCAGTTTGAAAGAGTCATGGGCCTATAACACTTCTGACAATACAGCAAAATCCTCTGTGATAAGTACATTTTTTTCAAGGGGCAGGAAACTTTGCAGAAAACTCCAGCACAGAGGCTGGCTGCTGGCAACCTTTCTCCTAGTGAGGTGTTAGTGAGGCTTCTGAACTCTTAATTAGGCCACTCCTCTTTCCAGGACTCTTATGTTCCAACCACCCTTAGCTTCCCCAGCTACGATGCCACTAAGGTGGCATTTTGCCTCTGAGATATACTGGTTCCTAACTTACAGCTCTCAGAAGGCCAGTCTTAATGCAAGCTGAAAGCTGCTCTATGCCAATAAAAATTGTTCATTTGCTGTGGCTAATTCCAATATACTACATATATGACAGTGACATGAATTTTAATTCTTCATATACATTACCTTCACTAAGGAGAGGAGACACACAACACAGGGAGTTTTCAAAATCTGTTAAGGTTTTACAGTACGTTGCCTTTCAATTACTGTTGATTTAAGTGGAGTCACACCACTTCAATCCCACACCATAAAAAGAGGCTTTGAAGTAGTTTGGGGATTTTTTAGTGCAATTGTCAGTCTGGTAAAATTTCTGCCTCCTATGTTAAAAAGAGCTCTCAACAAATTTACTCACAAATTCTACTAGCTGTGCTCCTTGGACATTAGGGTAGGTAGCTAGGATAAGAGGATGTTTACTCCACATCTTACTAATGACCTCTCCACTGTGAGCTAGTTCACCTTCTCTATCTTATCTTCCATCAAAACATGGTTCTGTGTACATAATGATACCATAAAGTGTCTTACTCTTAAAGTGCTCTGAATTTTAACATTCAGTCACAAAAGGGGACATACAACCAAACAGTACACCTTTGTGCCTGATATCCTGGGCAGGAAAAAAAAAATCATCATTATATTAATTACATATTTCGTTCAACTTATGCTGTCCCTTCTTCACCACATCAACCAGCATAATATAGAATCCATTAAAATACAGATGAGATTCTTTTCATAAATTCTAAGATGATGTTTCTTAACAGTGCTTCCTAGTTGTCAGACGTCAACCTGTTACAGACAGCAGTTTCCCACTGGCATGCCCACACGGATGCTCCCGGTGTTCCTGCAGTGCCAGTCCTAGCAGGCAGTGTGGCTCTCAGGCCCACCTACCGAGTGTCCTGCCTGCCCCCACGGCTACGCGGACGTGGGGGAGCTGCAGGTGACCTTTGACACGCTCGATTATGTCTGACAAGGAGACTGGCTCGCTTAGGGTGCACAGGCGTCCCATTCCAGTATGGGGAAGAAGAGGCTGGAAAAAAATTAAAATTACTGTGAGAAAGCTGATTCCAGATGCTTGCATTGCTTTCCACACTGTAACAGGATGAGTATATTTGGCTTGCAGGAACATCACTGAACTTTACAAAAAAGTATGTGTGTGATGTTCTCAAATGTAACAGATGAACTATGCCAGCTATTAGAACTTATTTAAGAATTAGTACAAACCACATTTCATTGCTTGGGAAAATGTGTGGGCTTCAAATCCCCATATGCCAGTATTTCAGAGCACTGGAAAGCTGTGATGTCATTGACTACTGCATTTCAGTGTTTAGGGTACTCAGCTCACACAAGTAATACATTCACAGGAAGTAATTTTGTGATTTTGTTACCTTCTGCAGTAAGAGAATCTCGGTCTTGGGGTAAAGGAGGCTGTTCTGAGACAACAATGCCACCACTTCCAGCAGTCCTTTCTGAGAGCACATCAAACTGACTCGTGTTTGCTCCTCACCTTCAACCCTGAGGAAAGACATGCCTGGTGCTTGTTAAGAAGCTAGATAAAATTTTGGCATTGTAATTATCATATTACAGCATTATAATTATCAATTTTGGCATTATAACAACAATTTATTCTATCGCAGTGGCTGTTCTACCACCAAGAAAGGAAAAAAAGGCAGCATTTTATTCAACTGTCCTCATCAAATTTCCTGTTAATACTCTTCTTTAATACCCCTATTTAATGCTAGACTTGAGTTGCTATTACCATTTAGCATGACACATATTGACCAGAAAGGGACGATTATCACTTAAGTTTCTCGTTCTGTTGCTGAAAAATACAGCAGCAATGCACAGAGAAACAAAATGATTAGAACAGTAAAATACAATTACAGCAACTTATTGTTTCAAACAACAGGAAGAATACAACATTAGAGAGTGGAGCAGATACCTAGCTGGAAGAGTAGTTAGACAAGAAATCTCTGGGATGCCTTTGATTTTGGACAGCACTGCATCCAGATGCTCAGCATCTGCACAGAACTCTACCCGGTGAGTGCCCTCAGATGGAGAGCTTGGTGCAGTTGATGGACGCAGTGGGACAGAAGTACAGGCACCTGAGAAAACAGTACAAGATTGCTGGTTTATAAAGCAGGGTATGTATCCTAATACTGATTTAGCACACATCTGAAAGAGATGCGGCACAAAGATGCAAATTTTGCACTTAAATCCTTTTTCCCTGACCAGAACTGAGGGCTTTTCGTTCTCCTGTCTTCATTCGGCACAGTCTACTTTAAGTCCAAAGAAACTGATGGATATATATTATTTGCCATTCTTAATCCCATCAGTTTTATCCTAAGGATTGTAAAAAAACAGAAAGAGTTCCTGGTTTGTATGACAGGTTGGAAAAAACACAGCTATTGTAATCTGTGAGCCACAATACAGGATAAAAATCTAAAATAATTCCACATAGCTTAAATGCTTTGCAAACATTGAGATCTTGTACTTTATAAATTAAAGGTGGTGATTTAAAGTCAGTGGTCTCAGCGTTGCAACCACAGGGGACAAAAAATACGCTCCACCAGTTCCAGATATATCCAATAGTACAGTCATGCATCTGAAAATATCCTTTTCTGTTTGTTATCTGATATACATAACCAAGATAAATTTCCCAAAATGTATTTAAGTTTACAGTACTATAAAAACATTAGGAAAAATAAAAACAGTCCTCAAATCACACCTGTAAAAGCCATGTGGCAAGTGATGAAAGATCCCACCTAAAACAGCAAACATCTTTAATAATTTTAACTTATTTGTTCTTAACAGAATCTCACCGAGTCCCTTGGCTAGCCAGTTGTTAACTCCGTGAGGTACGGCATCGTACGCCGTATGTGGAGAATAAATCCCGATTCTGTTCTCCAGGGCTCGGACCACCAGCCGTTCCTTCCAGGTTTTCCACGTTACTCGCTTGAGTGGCGTGAATATAGGAGGGTGGTAAGAAAGAACGAGGTCCGCTTTCTTCTGCACTGCCTCTTCCATCACCTCCTCAGTGAGGTCGTTAGTGAGGAAAAGGGTGTTCACAGTGTGGGGAGGACTTGGTTCCACCAGCAGTCCCACATTGTCCCAGCTTTCAGCCAGAGAGGGGGATGCGAAGTCATTCAGGGCAGAAATGAGCTCCCGGAGGTTCATGAGGGCGCGGACGGACGGGCGGCCCAAGGCACGGACGCGGTGGAGAGGCGGGCGGAGCAGCGGCAGCCGCATGCGGGACCTGTGTGGGGCAGACACAGGGCGCCGTGAGCCTCGGGAACCCAGCGGCCAAACAGCAGCCACGGCAGCTCGGTCAGGGCGCCCTCCCACCGCCAGCACCACCCGGTACCGGGTGCCCTCCCCGCCCCGGGGCTCCCTCCCTGCTCAAGCTTCATTGCCCTTCCCGCGGCAGATCCCACCCGCAGAACCCGGCCGCACCGGCACTCGCTCCTCGGCGGCGGGGACCGACCGGGACAGGTGGCCTCGGGGCCGGGCCGGGCCGGGCCGGCACTCACCTCCCGCCGGAGCGCGGCCGGCAGTGCGGGGCGGGACCTGCGCTCGGCCCCGCCGCTTCCGTCGCGCTCAGCGGGGCTGGCGCGGCCCCTCCGCAGCGCCGGCCGGGATCTAAGGCCCGCGGGCGAGCAGCGGCTTCTCCGGCGGCCGGGCTGGGTCTGTGCGCGGCTTTCGGTGGCGGTGCCTCGGGCAGGGAGGGAGCGGGAGCTCCGGCCGCCCTGGGTGAGGGGGAGCCGGGGGGAGGTGGGGACACTGAGCCGGCGCTTCCCCGGCCTCTGCGGGGCTTCATCGGCGAGGGCGGGTGTGTAGAGGAGATACCGGCGAGTAAATCTGTTGGCTTGTACGCAGCCGCGTTTTTTATATTACAGTCATTCGAAACGCTTTATTTGAAAGTATTACAAAAACTAAAAAAGTCTGATCCTGTGCTTGGGTGCAGGTACATGTCTGTTACAGGCACTCACAGCTGTCACGAGTTAGCCCCAAATCACACTAATGTTAGGTACTGGCACGTGGCTTTTACCTCTGAATTTCTGCCATTTACTATTCTGCCATAATATTTGCAAAAACTGATTGCTTAGTATAAATTTTCATCCTAGGAAAGAGTGGTTTTTACCCTCTTCGCCTATCTCTAAGTGGTCTTTTGATACTTATTTTTCATTCTTTATATACTGTGTAGTTGCTTAATGCAAAAATTTAGCTACAGAGTCACTGGAATAGTACCGTAGAACGGTATGGTGTAAAACCATGTAACCAACAAATATATTAGAATCAAAACCCAAATGGGGGTTGGCAGAAAAAAACCCAACAAATTTCATATGTTATTTTTGCAGGAAATCGCTGCATAGAAGGCTACCACACCTTTTTGATAAGCAGGCATGGTAAGAATAAAAGCACATAAAAATAATAAAAGCATATTTTCGTTCTTTCTGAAATGGTGAATACCTGCTTTTCATCTCAAAGGATTACATGTTTTACTCTGATCAGTTCAGGGTTTTCATTTCAAACTTCCAGAAAGATACTGTGAAAAGGAAAACAGCTTGATTTACATCAGTCTAAAATATAATTATGCTTTCACTTTCGAGATCCCAGATTTTAATGCTGTTTTGGCATGTATTTGATAATCTAGTTTGGTTTCTTTTGCCACAGAAGCATTAGTCTAGTTGCAAGAACATAGCTCTGCTTCAGCATATGTAAACCTCTGCACTCACAGGCCTTTAAAAGTTCAGCAATTCAAGAAATAGAGATAAGACTACGTGTGTCTTAAACTGTTCATACACCTTCTGCAGCATCTTCATGGGCATTGTGGGCAGCTGTCTCTTTTACTTGTATACTTTTAGAGCAGTATGCCACTATCAACATGATGCTGATTTTTATTATATTTACTGTACAGTTATCCTCACAGTAATTGTTTCTGCATAGTTTAGCACTTTCCATAGAAGCACTGTGATATATTTGGCCTGTAGAGATAAATTTGCTTAGGTCACTGGGTAACTGATTTTAAATTTTATGAAAGTAACTTATAAATTCTTAAGAGAAGTAAGTTAATTTGTAAATCTACTTGTCTGTGAAGGCACATTGTATAGGCTGCCATTCAGAACTAGCCTTATCAATCAAAAGGCTGCAGGCATCAGTTGCTCCTCTGGTAAAGCAGTGAGATGTATGCACCATCCCAAATAGGCATAGCCTTGATTCTTCACCTTTACATTCAAGTGACTGAATAGGTCCTGTTTGCAAATGAATAATTATTTCTGGAGTGTAATAGCATGCAGCAGCTACTACATTACCGTGGCAAACTTGATTTGTCCTGAAACTAAATGAAACTGAGTGCTTTCTGGTGATTTTACCAGATTTGTGGGTGGTTTGTGACAGTAGCCTTGCTTATGGCCTAATGTTGAAACAGTGGTTGTATGTAGTACAAACTTGCTTATGTTCTTGGTGGGGCTGGGAAATTAAACAGTCTGTTAGTATTTTATTGCTGATTTAATTACTGCTTTTTGCCTTTTGCTCAGGCTGTCACGCTGCATACTGATGTGGGAGACATAAAAATTGAACTATTCTGTGAGCGTACTCCAAAGACTTGTGAAGTAAGTAAAGTACCAGGAGTAGGATTGCCTAGTGCTGAAACAAAGCAGTAGGAATAGTGAAGACTGTGGAGGAGGTGAAGTGGCTTTTGCAATTCCCCTTTTTCATTTAATGGAATACCAACATTTTAAGCTGGTGCAGTGTCTGTTCCACTCATGGAACTTGTGTGTTTTGTCATACTGCCTAGAGCTTGATGCCTGTTTCTCACTTGATAAGGTTTAGTTAAGGGCTGTTTCTCTTGAAGCTCCAGCACCTCCCAAAGTGTCCTTTGCCTTTAAGGGGAAATATGGAACCTAGAGTGGGATTCCCAAATTTCCATGGGTTTGCTCATACCCTCACAGACTTGATTTTAGTTTAAAAGAGTGAGACTCACTCACAGTTTGTCACGGACCCTGATTTTGAATTTTTGCAATAAACTGAAATTGAAATAAATTTCATTTATTTTAATGAGAAAGCTGAGGCATGAACTTACCGCTTACAAAATTACATGTGCAAAATAAAATTGTTGAAATGGGAATGATACTTGAGAGCATGTTTTAGGCTTCTTGTTTGTTCCTCAAGTCAGACAACCTTGCACTGAAAGCTTTTTATTCTTTATGTGTGTGACACTATCAAAAGAGTTTATTATCTGTGATTTATATATGACTAATCTGCAGCAATATTCCGTGGAATTTGCATGGTCACAAAGCAAAGGAGAGGTAAAAGTGTTGGACTTGCCAATGCTGTCATTTTGGTAAGATAATACTATTTTTTAGTTGTTTGTTAATGTGATTTGTTTGATTTTTGTAGAATTTCCTGGCTCTTTGTGCTAGTAACTACTACAATGGATGCGTATTTCACCGAAATATAAAGGGCTTCATGGTTCAGACAGGGGATCCATTAGGTAAATTATTCTATCTGGGTCTTTCTATGGAAAAAATGTGCATAAAAATAAAATGTAAGGAAATAAAAAGGAATTATAGGTATTAAAACCAAAATATAAGTAAAGTAAAAATGAAAGAATTATTGTATTGTTGGTATGATAAGAGGTTTTTATGATGAGATTAGTTTTCTGTGGTGGGCTTACAGAAGTGCAGGCGTCACCCCAGTTTTAAGTAATCATGCATTCTACAAACTGGAGTTTTACCAGCTGTTTCCACTAAATATGATGGTTCTGTTGACTTAAGTAGAAGCAGCTGCTCCTGTGCTTTGTGTGGCTTCTGCCTGAAAGGCTGCCTCTAAAGCATTTGGGGAAAATGTCCCAGATGGTGTCAGCTGTTTGAGAGAAAAGCTGATTCAGTAATGTCTGTTTGTACTCATAGTGAATTTAATTTGAGGATATGTCAGTGTTTTGTTCTGCTATGTAATAGGTTCCTTATATAGAGTTATGTCTTGGTGCTGTGTCGAGAACCTGCCTCAAACTAATTGTAGGCTGTCTAGGGTCTTTGTTGTAAAATGTTGTAACAGAACATAATTTCTGGATTTTTCAGCTGAAAATCCAGTAATTTCTACTGTGATGCTTCTTTATCAGGCACTGGGAAAGGAGGTAACAGCATCTGGGGCAAGAAGTTTGAAGATGAATTCAGTGAATATCTAAAGGTATTTCTGTGCTCTCAATATGCACTTATGTTTTCATCTGAATTCTCTCTACAAGTTTTCTCTAGGTTGGAGAACAATAGCTTATTATTAAAATAGGAACAGGCATTTCTGTGCTTGGCAAGTTAGGTTTGAGGGTTTTCTTCACTGAAAACAGAAGTAAAATGAATTTCTGGCAGCATTTTTCATGCACTGAAGGCAAAGCAGTAATTTTTCACTGTAAGAGGAGTTTTGAGGAGCTAATTACTGATTGTTATAGAATATATTAGCAACCAAGATTTGTTCTTAATAATGGTATTGAGGAAGAGCTGTAGTCAGAGAGCACTTTGCACAGGTTAGTCCTGGTTTCACAGATGTGTACTCATGCTGAGGTTTTTCCCCTTGTTCAGCACAGTGTCCGTGGGGTGGTTTCCATGGCAAACAATGGTCCCAACACGAATGGATCACAGTTCTTCATCACTTATGGCAAACAGCCACACCTGGACATGAAGTACACGGTGTTTGGAAAGTAAGTGATTCAGCTGCATGCCTCTGGCAGTGTGTGTGTGGGATCTGAGTGCTTCAGGGCACATGCAAAGGCTTGAACTTCTTCTCAGAGTCTTCACGGATGCTTAATATTTCCTTTCAAAATACATTAGTTGCCACATAAAATATTTTGGTTGTTTTATTTTGTATCATTTGCTTGCAAAGTCCTTGCCTTGTAATACTTAACTGTAAAGTGTTTTGAGATACCTCAACTGTGAAATTTAAATCATTATTTGAAGGCAATTTCCAGCACTTCTCTTTTCTTTTTCTTGCAGAGTTATTGATGGCTTGGAGACCCTGGATGAGCTGGAGAAGCTGCCTGTGAATGAGAAAACCTATCGACCTCTCAGTGATGTCCGCATTAAAGACATTACAATTCATGCCAACCCTTTTGCTCTGTAGCCACAGAATGCCTCAACACATTTCAGAGACTGGTCAGATAATTGGCAGATTATTGGGTTTAAGGAGCCATCAAAAAGGGTTACTTCAGATGGATCATATCTTTGCTCATTGAATGCAGAATTTTCAGGAGCTGTGACATTGGGAGTTGTCACAGAGAAGTCTTGTGCTTCAGAAGCCAGGTTTTCCAGAGTATCTTCCCACATTTTGGTTTTGAAACATTGTTTTTTATACTTGTAAAATAAAAAAAAACTTTAATTTTTTTCATAATCTTTGGATTTTGCCTTATCTTTCTGAGTGATGTTATACTAAGTTAATGTCCTTTGCTATAATTTCATGCTACCAGTTTTGTGAAACTTTCTTGTAAAGTGTAATTTTCCTTACTCAGCTTTCTCAGAAGAGTAGAGTAAGATATACAATTTTTTCCTCTAGGTGAGAGCCGTGTCTTAAATAGATGAAACCTTTCCCTCTCAGAAGATTAAAGATACTTAGAGGAGTGTTTGCTCTTGTGCTGCTGTGTTGGAATGGTAACCTCTTCAGCCTGGCCAAAAAGTAGATTGGAGTAATTTCTTCTGCTTCTGGCACACTGTTGCTATGAGAGTAAGTATTTCTGTCCTTACATAGCTGTTGACTGAAACTAGGTAACATGCCTTTACTGTAACTTGTTTTTCATCACTTTTTTAGAACAAAGTCTAGGGGTAAAACACAACAAAGAACACTGTAAAAAAGGCTGTGGTCACATGATGTTAAACAGGCAAGAGCCATTTTGGACTCTTTCCACTCAGTGAGCATCCCTTAGCAAAGCTCATTGTTATATATATATGTATATATATATATACATATATATATATACATATATATATATATACGTGCTTTGTAATCCTTGGGAGGCTCAAGGGCCAGCTGACTTGCAGTCTGCTCAGACTGTTATTTCCCATTTTGAGACTAGGCCTCTTAAAGTAAAGAGAACTCATTTGCAAGGGAAGGGCAAAGGTTTGCCAGGTACAGATTACTGAGGCATTAATGGGAAGAGTTAATCAATACCTGCTTGAGGGGACTTGCTGTATTTCTAAGTTTCTGTATTCTTCATGGAATGTTGCTTTAAGCTCCCAGCCCTTTTTTCCATATAATTATGGAACATATATTTTATATGTTTTTATATGTTAATATATTTTAGTGTAACACTTCAGTCAGGTAAAGGATTTTATTCTTGTAGCTCTGTGCTCTCGTCTCTCTCTTATAACCAGCAGCAGTATCAAATAGAAGTGTGTAATGGCATGCTTGACTGGCACTACTGCCATGCAGGAGGAAGGATATGCTGGGAAATTGCCTACAGTGCAAAGGAACTGTAAATAATTAATAATTTTAAATTGCACTCAATTGGAAACAATTTCAGGTCTTTTTATTTTTTTCTCCGAAGGCTGTTGCATAGAAAATGTGAAATACGGCGGCACCAAGTATTTTGCTCTCTGGAGGATACACATTAAATGTAGGTAAGAAAATAATGGAGCATGATCTTTGAACAGTGACAAACTTGCACATATGGTAAGCTGATTCCAGAGGACCACTAACCATGCCCAGGGCAGTACAGAGACTGCTCAGCCGGGTGAGAAATGATCATTCCACAATTGGGAGTGGCCCCCGCCCCCCTCAGGCCGCCATGTTCTCTGCTGCGCCTCCTCGGGCGGGCAGAAAATGGCCTCGGCCGCTGTGCCGGGGCCTTTCCCGGAGCCCCTGCTCGGGCCGGGCGCGGAGCCTTTGGCCGGGCGGGCGTTCGGGGCCGGCCCCGCGTCCCCTTTGCTCCGCCCGCCCGGGGTGTCCCGGTGCCGGCCGCGGCCGCCGCCCTCCGGCCTGAGGCGGGGCTGGAAAGCGGAGTAGAAGATGGGTGGGTGGTGAGTTCGCTTTTCCTCATGGGGCACACTGACTGGGACATAACCCGAGTTTTATTGCCGCCCACAGAAAAACTTAATGGAAATTTTGAAAAGCCTACTGGGCAATACTTGCCCTTGTTAAGTACACAGAAGCCTTCCTTCTTCCTAACAATGAATTGCTGGGGGCCCGAGTAGCTTGGAAGGAGTGTCTAAGCCAAAGTATGTTTTTAAAAGCCTTTTTTTTAAGAAGAAAAACACAATCTTCATTATAGTTTAAATTTGATGATTAATAGCTTTGAAAATGAATTGTCTGTGGGATGTATTTCAAAGAGTAAAATATCTTTGTTACACTTTGGGAATTCCAGTGGTCCTGACAGGGATAAAAGAAAAAGACCACTTTGCAGAAGGTGCAACAATGCTAAGAATGGAAAGGGGCACCATTCAGAAGTGCACAGGAGAAAATGTGCTGCAAACATCGTTCTGAAACTCCTGGCAGGTAAGTAACTTCCAGACTTCTGATACCAGCAGGCATGTTTTAAGATTTTATTATTCTGATCAGGTCATGTGAAACCAGATTAATTTTTGAGTTGAAGGTATTTCAAGAAAGCTGTCTTGCAGCTTAAAACAAAAAGCTGCCTTCATAGGGCCACTAGAATGATTTTAGTTACATTTACTGGATCCTTTTTTGGTAGTGTTGATTCAGAAAGCAATTCTGTGAATGAAAGAGGCCATTGTTAATGACACAGTTTTGAAGTTTGCAGTCACAAGTCCAAGGAAGGATGTGACTCTGGGCATTCGAGTAGACAGGGATTTGGTCTAATGTCACAGCTGGTGGCAAAAGGAAATACAAGACACTTTATAATACATGTCATCCTAAACCTCCACCAATTTTAATTTAGTTTGTTTTTTTGGTTGTTTTGTTTTTTTTTTTTTTAATTTTAAGGAGGTAGATTCTCATCTCACAATAGTAATTGAGTGTCAGGTCTGGGGAATTCTGTGGATAATAAAAGTTTATTCCTTTGGCTCATATTAGTAGATGACTGTTTTTTGCTAGGATTGCATTTCCTTCAGTGAAAATGTATAGTTTTCTTGTGATACCACATAACATGAGAAATCTGTAGAATGAAACAAATTAAATATGGATGATGTCTTCCCACTAGCAGGGTGGGTTTTCTGATCTTTGTTACACTGTTAAAAAACCTGAAGATGGGAGTTTTAAGTTAAGATCTTAAGCCAAGACAGCATAAAGCAAATGTATATGCTTTTATGATTTTAAAAATAGCTTCTTGCCAAATACTCATACAAGTTATTTAATCTTGATTGCCTGATGGCTATTTTAATTTGGACACAAGACTACTGAAAAATATGTGTGTGTATATATATGTATATATAAGGTAATTATGAAATCTATGCTTTAAGAAAAATATAGAGATCCTGAAATCATAAAGTAAAATTCAGTGAAGCAATCTTTTAAAAGAAAAACAATTGTAATTTTTTGTTGCCTTGCTACTTTGAGTATCTCATCTGAAAATCCGTTCCTTGCCATGTTTCTCTCCTGTAATACAAACTATGTGAATTTCCAGGGACTGAATTTGAAAGTGCTCCTGCTGACTGTGGCCTGGTGTGTATCTGAATGCCTGAGCATCTCCTTGATAAATGCATTTTTTTCTGATCTGAATTCGCTTGAGTTGACTGACTGGCTGCACGATCTTGGTGCTGTTCCAGAAGAGCTACCGAAGGAAAAGGTGCAAGAATGCAGAGGATGTGGTGTCCTCCATGGGCTGCAGGTGGATCTCTGCATCCCTGTGCTCCTCCCTGGACTGCAGGGGCACAGCTTCTCACCATGGGCTGCCCTCTGGGCTGCAGGGAAATCTCGGCTCCAGCACCTGCAGCACCTCCTGCCTCTCCTCTGCTGACCTTGGCTGTTCCTCCTGTTCTCTTCCTCATATTCTCACCATTCTCTGAGTGCAATTACATCAGTGCCATAACTTTTTTTTTTTCCTTCTTAAATATGTTATCACAGAGGTGTTAACACCATCTCTGCTTGGCCGAGCCTTGGTCACTGGCACATCTGTCTTGCAGCTGGCTGTGTCCTGCAGCCAGCTGGCATTGGTTCTGTCAGACATGAGGGAAACTTCTGGCAGCAACTCTCAGAAGCCAACCCTGTAAGTCCCCCCAGCCACCAAAACCTGACCACACAAAACCAATACAGGAAGTTCTTTTAACGTAAGATCTGAGGGAGTTTTCAGAAGACTTACTTTTCTTTTTTGTTTGGGGGTGGGGATTGTTACTTTTTTCTGTAGAACTTGCATATATTTATTGTTGATTTTTCCCTTTTTCCACTATAAATGTGCCTTGATGAGAGTTGTCCACTAACAGTTCTCCAAGGTAGGTATTTACAGTTTAAACATGAATAGTCTAGAATAGCTTCAGTGGTAATCCTTTAGTCTAGTTTGGTTTGCTTTTAATTTTTAATAGCATACATAAATACCACGGGGTAGTAGGTAGGGATTTTTATTTCTAGGAAGAATAATAAAGTATGTTTTCAGAATTGATATATGAATTTTAGTCTTTTTTCTGCTTAGATGAACTTTGGTTATATTGTCAGCATGTACTAAAAAAACACTTTTTCTAAAAAGGCTGCCATTGCTATAAACAATGTATATCTAACACTCTCAGTCAGAAGTAGTTGCTAATCTAATCACTCTTCTAATTACTGTTTGATCCCATCCTTTCAGAAGAGGCTGTAGCTGTGAAAATAATCAAAAATTATGGCAGCTGCTCTGGAACAGCTTATGAAGTCCTAGTACTGGAATATCTAAAGGCACTGGATACTGGCAGTACTGAGTATACAAAGCCACCTGTACTTTGGTTTGGCTTTAGAATTTCTGTCATGTTGCTTTCTGTACTATGGGACGCTTGTGTCTCGGCTTTATTAGAAATGTTAAAAGTCATGTCAGGTTCCTGCCTTTGTAGTTGCTATGTCCAGATGTTAGAGTGGTTTGAGTACCATGGATATGTTTGAATTGTTTTTGAACTCTAGGGACTCAGCACCTTTGCCTTCAGTCAGAGATGAAAGCTATGGGCTTTGGTGTGCAGTATTTGATGATGGGTATCAGACAATTTGGTGCCCACAGGCCAGCGCAGAGCTGCTGCAGTTAGCCATGGCCACAGCAGCCTGTCAGGCTGACCTCTCATTTAAGGGGTGTCACACGCTGTTGAACTGCACTCCAGCAGCACAGCACTCTTTCTTCAGCTCTTGGACTGCTTTGGAGTCTGCTGTCAAACAAGAACCTTCTGAATCCTTTCACAGCACTGGACACTCACAAGCATGAGATGTTTGGAGTGTACAGTATATTCTCATGGAATACTACCTTAGAGCAGCACAATCTCCTGTAA